AATTAACTGGAATGCAACAAAAAGACTGGCCTCCTATGGGGACCACACCAGAAAACGAAAGATCAGCGAAGCTATTTAAATTCTTTTTCGAAGAAATCCGATGAACAAAGAATTAGAAGAGGGAAAAGTCAGCGATTATTTCGCGTACTGCCTGGGCAGACTTGGAGATTCACCAAAGGCATGAAAAAAAGACAAGTGGTCCCAGGGAAACTTTCAAACAACAGGAAAAGGCATCACCAAGAAGAGGTTAATTAGAGACAAAGGAAAATCAAGAAAAGGTGATTGCAGTAAGAGAATTTAAACCTGGAAAAGGCCAAACAATTCACCTGGGGGTTGATACCTGTAGGATGTGGTATAGTAAAGTAAAGGCAAGAAACAGGCAGATTATGCTCCCTTATAGGTGCCATAGATAGGTCTCCAGTTTGTTTGTGTGTGTGTGCTTGTGGACAGTTTTGAGTGTGTTTTAAGGAGAGGTTACTGATGATACGCCTAACAAAAAAGCGGGGAATACCAACCAGTTTACACATGATCATCTGATTAATACCCTGTGCTTGATTCTCGATTTGGAGGAAAGAAGACTGTTATCTATAATTTATTCTTCATAGTTGGCAAGTAATCTATCCACTTGCTCTTTGAACCATCTATTGACCAAACGGATTCCAGCACAGATAAAATGTTGTGGTACTATCAAATATACAAAGAACGATTTGTGCATGAAAATGGAAGGAGACAAAAGCATATTTGAATATAAACAAAGTACATCCGGCTCATATATCAGCATTTGCCTATACACACCATTATCAGCTCTTCTATGGCGTCGGGATCGACTGGTTTGCAGGCCTTAAACCAATCATCGACGATCTCACAGAAAGCCCCATATTGAACGTTTCCTGTATCAGGGTCAGCAAACTTGCGAGTCAGCCGGTTACAATCAACAAGAGACACTTGAAGACCTGCGAACTGCAGTATCCGACTGAATTGATTAGGCGTAACCACTCTGGACAATGCAGTGCTTAGAGTCTGGAGATAGTAGAAAACATGCATATATCTGTGGTAAATTTGATGCTAGATCGAATCAAAATAAATTAAGCATTTCTACCCTATTGCCTACTCGCCTACTTACCTAATTGCTAAATCATTTTAGTGATTAGCCAACGAATGAATAGCCTATCACAAATTCCTATAAGTGTCTAACTAATTCCACTTTGTGAGACTAATGAGAAATGCCGCTCACATCAGCACACTTGATGTTCCTTTTCAAGTAGCTCCCCTTATTTATCTGGTGATTTCCCTGACAAGTAAGTAATTTTTATTTGCTCACTGAAAGCATGGCCAAAGAGAAGCCCTGAAAAATAGTTATTATTAAAAAAAATTCAAGGTATCTTAAAAAAAGTCGATTCTAATCTGCCTATTTAAAAGGTGAATAAGTATGCAACGGGCACAGGATTCAAAAAAAACTTTATTCAATAATAGAAAAATTACCATATCGAAATCCTTAAAAAACGGATACAAACTTATTCGTCGCTGACTGACTTGCTTCCTTAAATTCTCAAGTAATTGAGAAATTCGAATTTCTTCGGCCTCGTCAAGCATAACTAAGGGCTGGAAAAAAAGTATTAATACTGGTAAATTAGTGTCCACTAGTATTATAGTTAAGAATGGAAACTAGATAGAATGGTAGTATACACATCAGTTTGCTGATTATCATACGTCTGCTAGGAAATGAGAGATTAGAGACTAGTGAAATTATTAGATTAGGAAATATGTGAATGTATAGAATGGAAGTATGAAGCTGAGTAATAGTTAATCATGCATAATTTGCAAAATGAAGCAGATGTGTTGAGCCACCAACCAAGAGACGTCTAGTCAACTGGTCAGTCCATCAATGGTACTAATCAGATTTAAATAATTGAGCTCACTTCCATTTAGAGTTAAAACCGTTTTAGGAAAAGACTCGAAAGTCAATCCCACCAGAAGACGGCGGAAAAGTCCTCTTGATTAGCTGTTTCCGAGACAATCTTCTATAATCCCGGTAAAAACGTGCTAAGATTTCGTCCGTCATATGATGGACATCATCGGAGCAGACAATCATTCAAGCAACAATATTCAGGCTAACGAGTCAAGGAAACCCAATGGCTTATCTCATAAGGCTATAGATATACCCTATATCTAAACTATTTTAAAAGGTCTAAAGTGCTTTGGTTAGTTCAAGTTATATGTCAACCTCGAAGCATATGAGTATGTCTGTCTGTGTGTATTTATGTGTCCTCATGTCTTCGTATATTTATCAAACCATAAGCGATGGCTCAAAGTAATTATAACAGAAGGTAAAGTCTGTTCTTGACCATCAAAGTTCGATGAACATCTAACCCTTTATATATACATATACATGAGGTTGTATAAATATAAATATAAATATATTTCCCTAAATTAAATAGAATGAATACATCTCATATAACTGATTTACTAGTAGGCTCTAAGCTCTACTTATAAACGAAAAATAAGTAATGCAGTCGATTGTCATAGCAAATATAACTTTGCTTTATCTGCAATCCCACCAAAGAATGTGATATGGGAAAATGCCTGACCTTCCTTGAAATTCACATCTACCCTGTCAGCCAAGGTGTAATGGTTATTGTGCCGATATTAAATGCTGAGCTGTCATATTCCGAATCCCACTTGAAGTATTGATAAAACCTAGGCGAGGTCACAACTACAATCCACTCTGAATGAGAACAACACTTGGTAAAGCAAGGCTATGTGAAATTCAATGGAAACGTCGGCGCTAGTCATATCATTATGGAAAAATTCAACTACCAGTCTTTCATCGCCTTTAATGAAATAGATTAAATACATTCAACATGATATAGAAGATTCACGGACATTCGTGTGCAATGTTGCGTAGTGTAACATGTACAATGTATACGCTGCACTACCGGAGTTCGATTTCCGTAAAGAGTTCTCTTGTAACCAATGAGCCTAAAACTGCAGTCCAACCTCGATCATTGAACCTTCTGGGAAGGAAGTCTAAGTTAAACTCATAGGAAATGTGAAGCCCACCAATTTCATTCTTGTAAAATGCAACTATCAGTACTTCATCAGCTTATGCGACTTGGGTTGATTAGGAGCATTATTCACGTTTAACTAACAGTCGTGTAACTTACTTTATTTGAATATAATAGTTTTAATTATCGAGAAGCCATACGTTTCCATTTTACCTTAGAAAGAGCGTTTGATGGTGGCATGCGCAAGTGTTTAAGTGGATCCTTCTCATAATTGGCAACATGAAATGCTGAAATTAAAGGATATAATAAACTTTTGAAAACATTAAAATTATAAATGATATTTTGGAATTATATCTAGTATCATGTGAATCTATTTGACTGTAGATAAACTAAATAAAAATCTTGGATCATGGACTTCTTATTTTATTTCGAAATTTTCTTGTCTATTGTTGAGGAGTGGTTAAGGCAGTCATAAAACGATAGCATAATTTGAAAATAACCATGTAAATACTGTTATAAATAGAGTAAATAATGGCGTCTTCAACCTCTATTTTATAGTTAAAATTTTTAAGAAGATCAAGAATAGCAATT